TTATATATCGGTTTGTTTTGTTATTAATTGTGTGATTCGGTTTGTAACTGTTTGTATCTGTTTTTATGCTTCTTGGATAATAAATCCATTTGATTTTGACTTAAACCTGCTGTTGTGTTTTGGAGGCGATGGAGAGCACATGGCTGCAGGGAGGGTGGCGATTTCTCCCTGTCTCCAAAAGTTATGGCCATAACATACCTGCTTGAGGAATATGGACAGAGTGGTAATCAGATTATGTAAAAATCATATAATATGTAAACCTTGAAACTTTGAAATACAATTGAAACTTAAAATTACTTATCACACTCTAAGACAAAGTGATGACAAACGATTGAAGCATTGGGGCTTACTTTCTATTGGTGCTGAATATGGATTTGAAGCTTTGGGTCTTCATATGGGGCAAATACAGTGACATCTAGTGGTTTCTAAAACGAATGGTATGGAGCTAAATCCAGGTCAAAAGTTTTGTTCATTTGAAAAAAAAAATTTTCAGGTTCAAGTTGTGGTCTTGAACACTGAAAAATACAGCAATGTATTCAAAATAAAAATAAGTGAATGAAAAGTTTTTTTGGGTTGAATATAATTTTGATTCAGTCCTGGAATTGTTTTGAATACATTTTTTTTCTTTAATTTTTCACTTTCATATATATTTTCATATTTGAGGTCTTATATTTTTTCAGTTTCAGATTTTATACTTTCAGATTTAAATCTAATTTTTTTCGGTTTCAAATCGTTTTTTCACTTTCAGATCGTTTTTTTCAGTTCAGACTTTTGACCCTGATCTACCGTGGGGGCACTCACACAGCTGTTTCAGAATCAGCTTTATTGGCCATGTACCTGACGCATACAAGGAATTTGACTCCAGTTTTTGAGTTGCTCTCAACATACATACATAGAATATACAAATAAACAAAAAATGTATACAAAAGCAAAAGAAAAACACATAAGAAGAACAGAGTTAAGCATAAATATTTAAACATTTATCTACTGTGTTCAATATAAATATATATCCAAAAGTATATATGAACATAAAGAACAACAAAAATGGCAATAGATTTGAGATATTAGTACAGAAGACTACTGTAATTAGACCTCTTTGTTGGGTTTCAGGTCTCCCATTCAACCCAATACTGTACCCACAGAAGGATCCCTGTCTTTATCGACTGAATAATCCAAAACTCAAAGTAATATCCTTTTGTTTGAGCCATTAGTCTCAGTACCATTAACTTTACAAACTAAATATGGAATCTATCGAACTTTATAATTTGTCTGACTTTCTCAAATTATTATCTTTCTGTCATGAATGATTTCAACTTTTGTTGAAAAAACAAACAAACATGAATGTATTATGAGAGTTATCTTAATCATGGTAAGAAAACATGAATAAATTAAACAATACGTATACGATAAAAATACAGGCAATATGGAAAATAATATAAATTAATTAAACCGCAAAAAGGTCTACAACAATCATAATATACATTTACTAAAAACAATATAATGTATTGTCCATTGTCTCTTGGGGGTTTAGAAAGGTAGGGTTAAATGGAAATGAATCATCAAAACATTTTTTTAATGGTGTCCTTTTCCATTTGATCGATCACATGCAATAACTTATAAATTAAAAAAATAAACCATTTTAGTTTAGCTTTAAGGATTCTTTATTATGAAACAGCATAAAAACAGGAAGTTGATTTCTGCGTAGACTGCTGCGTGACGTAATACGTAAATAAGTTGATCAAGCTTCTGCTGCCTACTCAGAAGGTTGTTTTCTTGTTGTCTTCCTTGAGCTATAATTATCTCTCGCCTCAGTAATATTAATGACAATGCTAAAACGACATACAAACTCTTGGGGATAAAACGGAAGTGACATTTTCGTCGAAACATTAGGACATGCCATCTGACTTTGTAACTACAAAGTAAGCCCCGAGTGGACAACAAGCCGAGTCGTTCGTCAACCAGCTAACAGGGGTTAGCACCACACCGTGTGCTGTTCATTCTCACTTTCTCTTCCATTTCGTCTTCGTCTGTTGTCGGCCTCTACATTCTGTCACCAAGTACAGTCCGTGGTTTCGCCAGGAGAGGATGAACTGGCTTTTCCCCCTGTCCAAAGGCTCCGGACCTCTCCCTCCTCTGAACAGCCTACAGCAACAAAGACAGCGGCAGATCGAGTCACTCAAAGCCGCTCACCCAAGGTAAAGTGAACGGCTACACGGTCACATCAAACTACCCCCTGGGGCTGCTGGTTAGCTTGTTAAACATAGCGCTATTTTGTTCGAACTCAGACTATGGTCACTACAATATCTCCTGACTACTTAACTCACTTAAATTAATCAAATATGTTGACTGGGTTTACACGCACAGCTAATGTTTACTTAGCATAGCTAGCCGCCAGGCTCTCAGCTGAGTCAGGGGAACAACGTCACTTATAAAGGTTATAACCTAGTGTTTCGTGCACATTATTCCCTGCGATGCTGTGTCAAAACAATACACGTGATTTTACATTTACCCACGACCACTGCTCTGACATGTCCTCGTGTGATCGCTGCAATTCTAATGTTTGCTAATCTCTCCTCGCTAACACACGCGTCGGGGCGCTGTGTTAGCTGGCTAGCTAATCAAGTCAGCCCGTGACTGTGTGCAATGTCTATTCGTAGGGACGATGACACGAGTTGTAGCTGGCTGCTCCTGTCCTGTGGCCATGCTAGTGTTCACCACCACAACGTGTCACGCATTTGGTTTTAAGAGGAGTTTGCTAATTCGACGTGGCGATTAAAGTATTAGCCTTTGTTTACTAAGGAGATTTGTCATCTCAGTGACACGTTGGTTTGTCTTTCTTTCATGTACTGCTGACACGACAGATTGTTTTGCAAGTACATATCTTGTCAGCCAGATGCATTTAACCGCAGTGATCTCCCTCCTGATGTGAAGTATGTGTGTGACAAAGTAATGGGATTACAACCATGCGTTTGATACGGATGTGAATGGGAGTGAAAAGGCTAATGTGTTGTGGTGAATGCTGCTCGTGACATGGCAGTGCTAAAGGAATACACGGATGAGAGAAGATAATTACTACTTTTTATATAAGACTGTACTGTGCATGTAAAGCGAGGGCTTCTTGACATGCAACTCTCTTTTGTAGGGGTAAATGTTTTGTTGCTGGGTATGTTGTGTAAGGTATGGATTGTTTTAACAACTGATATTAATATTGGTACCAATATCAGTATTACTACTCATTGAATTCCTTTGCAGTTGACAAAAACTCTTTGAATTGATGAATGCAGTAAGCAGCAAAGCAAACAGTTATTGCATACAGTAATACTTGACTGTCACTGGTGGGTCATTGCCATGCAGTGGTAATAACATGAGACACATCAGCATTACAATATATTTGCTGATACACTTTGTAATGTTATTTTGCTAATAAGTAGAGGTAATGGTTGTGGATATGCATTAAAGGCCTCACTTTAAATATCTTTATGTTGTTTTGTGGGGAATTAGAGGTATTGTGTGATGATACGCATTGTACGGCCTCTCTTTATGACTCTGTGTCTCTTTCCAAACCAGCAGAATGTTCATAAACATTGATGGTAGACGTACAATATGTTTTCTTAATGTGCTGATCATGACCACAGATGCAAGAGTTCTGATTATGTGTTTCTGTTTCCCCAAACAGCCTCGCAGAGATCCAGAAGGATGTGGAGTACAGAATACCATTCACAGTCAACAGCTCCACCATTAGTGTTAACATGTGAGTACATCTTTGCCCGTACAGTCGGAGTGACTGACTTCGTTTGGAAGCAACCACATGACACACTTCTCATCAAACTTTTTTTTAATCAATAAACTTGTATAGTTGAAATTACAAAAACATATTTCATGAATGAAATGAAGTTGAACCACTATTATTATTTCGATATGGACATGACACTACCACAATACCGTATTGCAATATTGATCGTATATGTTGTACCTTATGTATCATGTTACTGTGATTCCTGAAAGCTGAATCTCTTCTCTTTCCTCTAGACTGCTGCCTCCTCAGTTCCCCCAGGAGAAGCCGGTGGTTAGTGTCTACCCCCCTGTTGGTCATCATTTAGTCGACGGCAATAATGGCACCATGATCACTAGCCCCCTCATCACTAATGTAAGTCGTTTTCTAGGGTTTCTTGAGGAGCTTCCAGGAATGTTCAGGGAGTTTAGTTGGATCAAGTGGTTGGGTTATTCCAGATCTTTTTGCGAGCTCATGCTTGAGTTGCATAGTGTTATTCTCACTTTCCTTGAAACATTTGTCCTTGTTGTGTATGTTGCAGTTTGGGATGCACTCAGATCTGGGTAAGGTCATTCAGAGTCTCCTGGACGAGTTCTGGAAGAGTCCTCCTGCCTTGATGTCCACTGGCTCTGCTGGCTTCTCATAGTGAGCTTCCCCTTACATTCATGGACACTTCAGTTGTCTCTCAGTACTTTCTCATCATGCTTCATTACAACAGAAAGTCCAGGTGTTCTGCAAACTGGGTCTCATTTAAATATTTTTGCCATGATTTTTTTTTTATTGGGTCTATGCATTAAGAAAGTAGCCCTAAAAAGCAGTTGATCATTAGAATGTAAATTTGGGACAATTTGTAATGCTAGCGTCAAATAATCATATTTCCTCCGGCGTTTACAACAGTATGTACAAGCCGTCAGGCATGGCGCCATACCCCACTCAGGCTTATCACTATGGTCCTCGCCATGTGGGCCCCAGTCACACGCCACCTCCTGGTCCAGGCCCAGCTCCAGCTCTCATGCCTCACCCAGGGGTCGATGGTTCCCACGGGCCCCCTCGAGCTCCAGCCCCATACGGCCTGATTTATGACCTGCCGCTGCCGGTTCCTACTGGAGACTCCCAGGTAAAATGATACTGGACATTGTACACAAGTGGATTGATTACATCCGTAATGAATGCATAGAGGACTATATAGGTCAAGCATTGACAGTTTGCAAACCATCAGGTTTATCAACCTATGTAAAACATTAATTGTAAAAAGCAAGTGTGATAACCCAGGATCTTCCAAGCAGAGCTTTCAGTTGCGATGTCTTTCCCTGCAGCTGATTGCTCGGGTTCAGACAAATCTAGTGTTGGCATAAATTCCTTGAAGAATGTGACGTGCTGATACTACTGCTGTCCGTTTCAGGCTGGACTCAACGGACACATGTACAAGATGCCTGAGATTCCTGAGACTTTTCCTGAACTCTGTGACTTGAAGTAATGTATTCCCAAAATATTGCCAACTTAAACATCTTTTATATTTCATGAGACATTGTGTAAGCATGAAATAATGTCAGGGAGCACATTCTGTTGTACCTGTTAATGTCTTTGTTCTCTATGTCTTTGTCTACCCCCTCCTAGTCTGACCCAGTTGTCGGACATGGCAAGTGAAAACGAGGATATGTTGCTGGAGTTCTTTGTGAGTTTGCCACAACTGAAACAGGTCACCAGTGATAAAGAAGAGCTGGTCACCAATATAGTGGACATGGCTAGTAAGTTCCTCTAAGGTCTGGATAGTCAATCATGAAAGGGAAGTGTACATTTAGTTGAGCTTTACGAAGATTTGTGCGTCCTTGTTTGTCACTTACAGAGAAAAATCTTCAGATGGAGCCGCAGCTGGAAGGAAAACGACAAGAAATGCTCTACAAGGTCAGATATTACATCCAGTCTCTTGAGCTCTCTTTCAAACACACCCCCACACACACACACACACTATGAATACATGCACGCTATTGTCTAGCAGCTTGTGATGCCTGTTTTTGTCCGTTGACAGTATGAGCAGCTGACTCAGATGAAGTTGGCCTTTGAAACAAGGATGCAGAGACAGCATGATCTCAGTGAGGTGAGAGGCTACACCAGTGATGAACTTGGGGGCCGGGTGGCCCACCAACCGCTTTTTAATTCACAATGAAAATTATTTGATTCATAATGGGATATTTTTTGTACTTTTAATGTAAATAAGATGGCAGAGTACATAAAAAAAATGTACAAAATAGACTAATAGAGCGTGTTCATAAAAAAATGGTGCCTGACACGTCAAGCAACCGCTGACTATAAACTTCAGTCCAGCATCGGTCTCCTACGATACAATAGCCCTCGTGTTTTGAGGATCCTCTTCTGTTAGGTGGGATTATGCGCTCCCTCTCAGTCAACCAAAAGACCATATTGTTTTACCTTGTCAAGCAGCTAAACCTGTCTTGACACACGCCACTGAAAAATGTGTATCTTTCTGTTCCTTTATTTTGTGTATTTTAATCCCCACTAGAGTTGCAGTCTTAGTACTCTACAGGCTCGGTTAAAAGTTGCAGCCCACCAGGCTGAGGAGGAGTCGGAGGAGACGGCTGAAAACTTCCTGGAGGGACGCGCAGACATTGACGAATTCCTGAGCAGCTTCATGGAGAAGAGAACGGTGAGAAGTGCTGTATTTGTGTAAAAATAATCATGATATATTTTCTGTTTTGAGTCTGAATGTGATCTGAACTTATAGTTACATTTTAAGATGAAAGATGCCATGATTCTTTGTGTGTTAATCCACAGCTTTGCCACAGCAGAAGGGCCAAAGAGGAAAAATTGCAACAGTCCATCAACACACATGGACAGTTTCCTCCCAGCCACTAAAACACAAGGTACAAACCACATATGACTGTCATTGTTCTCTTTGTGGAGGGACACTGGTGGTTCTCAGCTGACTGTTTCTCAACAGGCAGCCCTTGTGGTTGCCTCCATTTTCTTTTTCAGGGAAAACAGCTTTGTTGTTGTCATCTCTTCATTCTCCTTCTTACTTCTTACATTTGGTCCTCAGGTGTGGTGTTTTCTCAGCCAACTGCTGCCAACTTAAAGAATAAAGACATTTGATGGGACAAAAAAAGCACACTGAGTCAACAATGGGCACTTTGGAGAAATAGGAAGACAGTGATAGCAATTGTGGGCTAACAAAACGAAGCCCACTGTCCTCGGATCTGGACTACAAATACTGTCGAAGTTGGATTGTGCGAGAGCAAGACGGAGAATCTATTGAGTCACCACAAGAGGCCAAAACTGGGAGTGACACATGCCTAGCTTTTCCAACCACATTACTAAGGATTTCTATTGCACATGCTGTTTGTTCAGTTTTGACTTGACAGTAATGATGAGTTTTGTTTCTTTTCTGAATTTATATCACAATGCTAAATAAGAGCAACATCTGCACCGGATCAGAGTGGTTGCCGATGTGAACTCATCTGGGAAAAAAATGCAAATTGTTTTTACGACAGGACTCCCAATCGTACTTTTATTTTTTTTCATGCGGTGAGCAAGTAAATGTCACTATAGAATAATTGTTAAAATGCTAATGTCGGTGTCTATACTTCCATCTCTGAGATCATTGGCGAGCCCTTGCTTTGTTATTCCAGAAAGGTCCTGAAGGACAGACAGAAGAACAACCTTTGCCTTGCAAATCTGCTGTTAACTTGATTTGATTGCTCTAGATGTAGAGATGAAACTCAGCATTGGCACTTCAACAAGTCAAGGTAATCTCTCCAAGGCATTCCTCATTTGTAATTAAACAACTCAAATTTAAGATTCTCCAACAAAATAGAAGCAAGGACGGGGCAGTGCTGTCAGGAGAGCTTGAAATTGAAACTCTGCAAATGACAGTGGTCGAGTTTATCAAGTGTGTTTGTCCCTTCAGTAATGACTTGAACACAACCTCGTCATCAGTGTTTTTGCACAAACATTAGTAATTTGATTCAATCAGGCAGTACTCTGATTCTCATAGTGTTTTTAACATCATAATCGTTTTTTATCCACTGTACCTCAGAAAGAAGAGTCAACATAATCCAAATAACAAACCTGGTTACTGGTCAGGTTTTTTTTTCTTTTTTTATACATTTTTTAGTTGAGGTTTGTGGGGGGATAATACAATGTTTCCTGAAGGTTTAGCATAAACTTTTTCAGACATTGACCAGTTTACCAAACAGGTTATGTAAACTGAGGTTATTGGGATATCCATATAAACGGTTTGCCTTTCACACGAATCAAGGTATTGGGGCACATGTAAACATGCTGATAATGATGAAGGCCATTATAATAACCCGTCTGTTTTCTGACACCTTGTGAACTTGAAATAGTTGACTGACTCTTAACTGAAGAGCCTCAGAAGATTTGGGATAATGTTGAGGAGTATTAGGGTTTCATGCTGCAGTAAAACATGATGACATTGGATACTGTATTTAAATAATGTTAATAATAGGCTATATTGTAATCAAAGACTCAAGACACCTTGTATTATATGTTGTTATTTAATTTGTTAGTGTAATAAAGCATTTAGAATAAATCTTGTTTGCTGTTTGACAATCACTATTAGCACTCTAACCTTTTTGGGCAACGTTGAACTATTTATTTAGATCATAGCACAAACACTAACACTTGATGCATTGTCTTATTATAACAGTAATTCATTAAGTTCAGGATAAATACTGTTAACGTGCCTACCCAGTCCACACACTTCTGTGTTAATCTCATGACAAGCGAGATAGCAAGAATACTTGCAGTGAACTATTGCACATCATTATCACCTTCAAAATGGACATTTCACAGCTTAAACTCGTGACGCTACCATATGACAATCACAGTTTCTCAGCAGCACTAAAGCACAATAGTCACTTTGAAAAATTAAGTTCATGTAGATTGCAATACTAAGAAATATACAGTTGACTTCATCAGCAATTTATTATCTACTGTAAGTCTCCACCCCATTAAAGCTACTGAATACACAAAGCTGTGTCTGGTTTAATACAGACAGGGGCTGCAGAGGCCCACATGCACACAGCTGAACTTAACTTTGCTGTAACAACCTTTCCAAACTGACTTGCTGGTGTGTGTCACAAGTCACAGTATGTCTGCATGCCAAATAGTTAAACAGATACTGTATTTGTCCTGATTACTATATTACTCTGACTTCTGCCAGAGACATTAACATAACATTGTCACCATTCCTCATTGACATCCATCTTCTTTTTTTTTTTTTTTTTTTTGCATTCATTTACGAATGGGATATATATATAATTTTTAAAATGAATAAATGAAAAAAAAAAAATTCATTTCCCCCTTAGCACTAAAGCACCAAGTGAGAGAATTGTGAAGATGTTGAGTTTGCATAGCTATGAATACAATTACAACAACATTATGTTCACTGTTTGGCAAATTTTGTTTTGTTTTTTGTGGCACAATGGCGCACAGGTGGCGGTAATTCACCACGCCAACTACCGAAAGTCGTCACGGAGGCGAAGAAGAAGAAAGAAAAAATAACAGGAAGCGTGGATTATAGGAGGATAGTTCGTAAACTTGTCCACGAGTTATTTTGACTCTAGAAGCTCGTTTCTGCTAATTATTCAAACTTTAATTCGCTGGAAAGATAAACCGCAAATATCCGTGGATAACCGACAAAATCTTGGCACAGGTGAGCAACAGCTAACGGTTAGGTTAGCTTAATTTAGCTAACGTTACTGTGCGGTTCTTAAAGCACTTGATGTAACGTTAACATCAACTAGCTATGTTACCAATATGTAACTGTTAAAGCTCGAGACGAAGTCCCAACTTCATACTGTGCACTTCAGTTAGCCACCGATGTAAGTTATTGGGTGTTGGTCTTCATTGTGAAAACATGTCCGATAATATACATAGCGACGGCTAACATTGAAGCATAGTTGCAGTTTTAATCTATACTGAAAAGTGACCCGTTGGATTGTTTTTTGCTAAATACCCTTTACTAAAAATGGTGACTCCTGTTGTCTTTATGTGCATTGGATCATGTGATTGTTGGGTTTAACAGTACTTTACCGTAATATCCAGTTCTCAATATATTGTAAGTATAACACTGTAAGCATCTGCCCTCTGTTTTGTCTGCATCAGTCTAGAGACATGTCGAGACAGATGGGAGACAGCCATCGACGGTTCCTACAGACCATGATGGCCAATGGCATCGTTGATGAACAAGGCGCGAGGACGCTCTATCAATATTGTTGTGAAACCCACAACAGTGAGTCATTTTATATGCGGTTTGTAATGTGATCGATCCAGAATAAGATGAGTTCACCCCTGTATCAGGACATAGGATTTATAGCAACAATAGAATTATGTGCCTAAGACCCTTTGTCTGCTTAACATTTGCATAACTGTTTCACCTTTTTGAAGTTGAACTCCATGTTTCCACTGCCTTTTACACTGACCAACTGTTTATAAACTTCATGAACACAGCTTTCTGAAAATATGAAAGCTTTTGGGCAAATACCTAACCATACAATTGATTGGGAAAATGTTAAATTAATCTCCATAATGAAGAACTTCTTTGCTGCTCATTTGCACTATTGTATACTCTATGTTTATGTTTTTAATGGTGTCTTGTTATTTGTATTGTGTGTGTTTATATACCTTTGCTGTGCTTGGTGGAAGCCAAAGACAAATTTCCACTAAGGTGGACGATACAATATGGGTTAGAAAAGCACAAGAAATAATTAGAGGAGTTGATTCTCACAAATTTTCTTTCTTTTTCTGCAGCACAGCACCCTCCCGACAAGCTGGATGATTTCATTGATGCCATCAACTCAAATCTGCAGCCTATGTTCATGCAGATTAGAAAAGGGATGTCTGAAGACAGCGGTCACCAGTTCTACGCCTTGGTAAGTTTGGGTTTAAGTCTTCTACTGGGACTGCATTGTCAGGCCTGTTCCCCTAATACACAGAACTGGGGTGTCACGACTGAAATGTTGCTTTGCCTGCATGTTCTGCAAAGTCAAACATGCACAGAGACTTAATTTAATCAAGGACAACCATTTTCATACCAGCTTTTGCTGGCGCAGGGTTGTCTCCCACATAACTTTTTCATTTATTAAAAAAACGATCCATTTTGTGTCGCTGCATCCAAGGGACTGTTAGCTAGCAAACGGTAAAAATGCGTTCGTCTCTCCCTGATGATGTGATTGTTGAGGTGATATTCAGATGTAACTGGTCATTGAAATAACTATCTTTGTAAATTTCCAAATAAATATATATTTTTTTATTTAATCTAAGCATTTGGCAGTACCTCTGCAGCCCACCTGATGGTGCTCTGCTGCCCACCACTAGGAGGCATCATTAATCCCTGTTTTCCTTAATTCCTGTCCAGGTGAACATGACTGAGACTGTTGTCACTAGAATGTCGTCAGATTATGCCGACAATGAGCTGGAGCTGTTCAGGAAAACGGTGAGTTAAATTTACAGAAGGAAATCCTGCATATTGATGTTTTGCAATCACTTGCGTCCAAAGCTTTTTTTCAGCAAAACGTTGGGCTATAATGAAAAAATAGTAAAATAATTGAAAAATCAGATGACTATAGAAACAGCCTTGTAGTAAAATACTACATTTGTAGCAGATTATGTCTCTGATTTTAGCACAGATGTTTGGGCTCTGCCTTCTTCAGTGTGTAAAGTGTGTCGTGGCTGACTTGAGCTGCTCTGATTCAGATGGACCTGATCGTGGTCTCTGAGAATGGCACGGCCTCTTCCACTGACGTTCTGAACAGCGCCGACACCCTGACCACCAAAAAGCTGAAGAAGAGCGAGACGGAGCACCTCTTGAACCGACTCGTGCACGACAAATGGCTCAGTGAGGTAAAACACGGTGTTTCCAACAGGATGTCAAAATACAATTTAGGATATGTTCTCTTTGCTCCATCTTCCACAAACTGTTAACTATATTTTTGTGTGGATAAAAAGCAATGTTTTTCACATCGATTTAGCACTTTTGTCACATTTCACGCCAGTTGTGGACACTTTCATGAAGGACTTCAACTTAATCTGACTTTATTTCAGTCAGCCATTTTCAATAAGACTAATATTGGGGATGTCTATTATCGACCCGCTGTGTTGCTGATCCCTGTTGGGAAATAAGGTTACTGAGGGAGGGTTTTGCGATTCAGTGGGGTGAAAGATGTAAAATATTAAAAAGTATTAATAGAAATAAACAATACCGTCTTAAGCTAGGCTATCATGATTGTAGCTTTGACGCACTTGTTCATATACGTTTGTTTTCATCATTTGTAATGTGGATTTATTTTTCAAATCAATTAAAATCACATTCACTACCAACTTAAGTCTACTAACCAGATGAAAGTCTCTTTGCCATAGTATTGAAACACTTCTTGCTCTTTGTTTGTTCATTTTATTCGGTGTGTAATTGATTTCTGTTCATTTATGTAGAAACGCGGTGAATACACTTTGTCCACCAGATGTATTATAGAGATGGAGCCATACATTCGTGCAATGTACCAGGAGCAAATCAAAGTGTGCCACATCTGTCACAACATCGCCTTCCAGGTAAATGTTCCCTCTGTTATTTATTATATACTTTATAACCCGTTTATAAATACCTGAATGAAATGAATTACATTTAGTTCTGTCATTTAGAAACTCTCATTTTTATAATTTAAAGGCAGTGGCTTTACAGATATCAGTTTTTTCCTCAATGTGTCGATAAAAGTCGATAATCAAATGTTTAAATTAAATTAATAAACACAATTAGATAATTGTACTATTTTAAGCTGTCTGGAAATAAGAATCTGAGGAATAAAAGTTATTATAATTATAGTTTAATACAAATCACGTGGGAAGTCACACAGACTTGCTCTTGAGTAACAACATAAATATAAATGATCAATAATTCACTTTTAATAATGTGACTTGATGTGTTTCTGCAGTGCAAACCCATTCGTATGTAATGGCTATCTGTCTTTGTGTTTTTTCCTCTCGGTTTAAGTTCTATCAAGTTTTTATTTCATGTTGCGTTAGAGTTTTTTTTTTACCTTGCATTGACGTTAGTTGCTTTTGTAAACAATCCCTTTTGCATTGGTTCAGCTAATGTGTGGAAAACCTGATCTTAACTAAATGAGTACACCGTATTAATCTGATCACATTTTTTAATTTTTTTAGTGCCAAATTTGTGAGAATTCTGCTTGTGGAATAAAAATACACAACCCATGTGTGGCCCGATACTTCAAAGGAAGAGCAGAGCCGCGGTGTCCAGCTTGTGAGGACTTTTGGCCACATGAAATCCCTGGTACTTATTGTTTATTTACACACATATTGGACCTACCATCATTACATAGATGCACATTTAAATGTCTCACATGCAATTACTACATGCTTCCTAAAAACTGCCACCTTCCACATCTGTTCCCAGGAAGTTTTGCTTTTCAAAGATCACATTTTATATATTTATATTTTTGTAAAGTATATTAGAATGACGCGTATTAAAACATAGAATGAAAATGAATAGATGTATGAATGGCAGGTGACTAAAACAAGAAAATGCTTGTATGTTTCATATATTGATTGTTCTGTACATTACAGAAGTCAGACGACCCCAGTCTCAGTCCAGAAGATGAGGACTTCAGCATCAAATGTCTTCTTTTTTAAAACTCGCTCTGTTTTCAACATAACTTTGTACTAAACCAAACTGTAAATATACAT